TCATTCGAGAGGCCAGTCTTTTGCCTTTCAAACATACCAGGCGCATTTGATGAATTCGCATACCGTTAAGCGCACAAACTAAAAATATCAAAGAAGTGACTTTTTCGGCGTTGCCCCAGACTGCGGGGAAAGCCGAAAATGGGAGAAATGATCTACGGGGAATGCCGACATTGATGTTTTGCCACTTTATCTCAAACTTTATCCAGAATTTATCAAAGCTGACACGCGTTTTAAGAGCTTGAGGACGCTGGGTGCACACTGGAAGTTATAATTGTGTGATATAATAAGAAAATGCCAGGTAAATAATTCCTTATAAGTAACAGGCCGTTGTGTCGGTTGAAAGTGTAATTTGTGTGACTAAAAATTCGCGTTGCTATTCTACAGCAATAAAGTCCACGTAGCGTGCTTTAACGTGCGTAATTGCACGTTTTCGGCATTACCCCAGCCAGCCATACTTTCATTTGCAGGCCCATAACTTTTCAACGTGCCGTATAAATTTCAAATAGGCAGCACACTTATGCAAAGACATGCTGAAGATTACTTGACCGAATTGGCCAGACAAACGGTAGCATAATGAGTAAGAAATGCAGCTTCAAAGGTGCATGTAGTACAAGGAACGCGTACCTTGAAAACGCTCTTCGCGCCCTCACAGCCGAAGTATTCCGAATGACGACTCGTAACAAACATGCGATAATTGTAGTCACTTAAGCTTCAGAGCATCACTGACAGGTGGCATCCATGTCTTACGGTTTTCGAAATATCTCGAATTTCGGCTTTACCCCAACTCCGGCATTGCCCCAACTTCCCCTATACCTTACCTACAGTCCTAATATTTATACGAATGTTATGTAAGGACCGTTTAAGTGTTTGTAGTGAGGGGTGACGAGGCAGGCTGGCTTAAGTATGACATTTTTTTCGAACATCGCTGTTCTAAAATAAAAATTAGCACATTGGGGTAACCCCGGGCGAGTGGCCAAACTTACCCCTAACCGAGAGCAATGCCACTAAACCACTGTTTTCCATGAGATAATAGGTACTGAGTAGGTTTGGTTTGCACCTAGATCAAAGATAAATTTCGAAAATAAACATGTTATCACAGACAAAGCCTCTTCGGCCTGTCGCTCTATTCCAGTGCCTACAAGGCCCTATATACCCTATAAGTGCCTATAAATATCAGGTATGGATGAAAGGCGATTGCTTGCCTGTTTTTTACTGTAAAATATGGGAGACATCCGCTCCATTTTAACGGTTTTTAGATACCCTCCATCAGTTTATATCAATAAGTGACTAAGTTTATGTTTGTATGTTACAGGAACAGTCATGTCACTTGAGGTCAACTAGGGCCAAACTACGTTTTTGCAGATAACGCGACAGACAATGAAGCTAGAGCTTCAAAAATGAAGCCGTTGTGTTCTTCTTCATCAGCCGAGTCGAATGATATGCAATATGATGCATTTAGGTAAATAGAAAAAACAAATTTTAAGGAATTTTGAAATACACATTTTTTTTGTCAATTTTGCATCACGATTTTCATCGACCTGTACTGTATATGTGGTAGACGCTAGCTAAAATACCAGTAGTGACATCAACTCTAAGCTGTCTAGAGCTAATCAGTACCTTAACCCGTGCCCCAGTGGCGGTCTCGGCCAACTTCGCCCTAGTGGGGGGGGGGGGCATATGTTACCACCCACCTCTAACTCAAAAACTAAGAGGGATAGAAAGACGCGGTAAAAAGCAGTCGATAGCTCTCAATGCGTACGTTTGAAAGTACTTCGGTCATTTTTCATCTTAGAGCAATATTGGGGTCACAATAGGTCATCAAAGGTCAAAATTTACCAATGGTCATTATATTTTTCAGGGAACATGCCGTTATCTCAGGAACTATGGTAGCTAGAAAAACGCATGGAAAAGCAATCGATAGCTTTTGAACTCTTCTTTTGATAAGGTCATTATCGAAATTGACCTCAGGTCAACGGTTTAGCCTCCAGAGGGCAAAAACTCCAAATATAGCTGTTTTTACGAAAAGTGTTTTTCGACAATTACTTTCGACTACAAAAAGCCACGACATTTCTATTGCCAGAATCGTGTTCCTCTCGCCGAGACGCGTCGGGTGAACTATAATTTGACCTTGAAAGGTCAACTTAAAAATTTGACCTCAGGTCAAGGTCATGACCTGGCCGGAAAAGGTCATGTTGTCATGCTGTCATGTTGCATGTTGGAAAAGGTCGATGCGTCTCGGCAAGACAAACACAATGAGACCAACCCCAGCGTTCTATCTCTTTCCAATCGCGAGTTATTGGCAAAAAGCTGTTTGTAGCCTCAAATGACCTCGGATGACCTTTCTAGAGGCTATCAGCAAAAATGACACCTTGGTCATCACGAGTGATCCAAATCATTGTGATTCTGAAATATTTGGACTGTTCCTATGCGTACACACGGATCTAGAGGCATTTTCATTTTTCTCCATTGACTTGTAATGGAAAGGTCACGCCACTGACCTGACCTTAGGTCACGGATATAAAAAATCCGAGATATACAAATTGTAGACGCCCATAACATCATTCAATCCACCAAGTTTAAAACCTTTCTGACAAACACTGCAGGCTGGACATGATTGCAAACTTTTTTAGGCTTGGTCAGTTAGCTTGACCTGGTGACCTGACCTGACATGACCTGGGGTCAAAAATTTCACACATTGTCCAAAATTTATGTACCAAAAGCTACCCCAAGCGGCGCGGCGCTACGCGCCGCGGTTTTTTTATTTACACGCAAAAAAACGCGACAGGGTGGTAACATATGCCCCCCCCCACTGGGGCGAAGGTTAATATTTCACTTTCCGTCAATATTTGGAAGACACATACTGATTTCATCAACTCGTTGTAAAGCGCTGGGGAGGTGGCCGGAGTTACCCCTATGCCGGGCTTACCCCAGAAAATCAATACTTTTTTAAAACTCGATTTTCTCAACCTTATAATATGTCCACGAAACCGAATTTCTGGGAAAACACGGCCAATTAACTTATCTAGCTAACAGGATATCAACATTTTATACAGCACGTATGGTATGAAATAAAAATTAAAAATAGCTTACTATGCCGGGCTTCCCCCGGCTTCCCCTACAAAAACTATTAGTATATACCATCCGGCAGGGGCGGATCCAGCATTTTGCCAAGGGAGGGGCTATTCCGAATCGGGGGCCCCCCATCGATGGGGGCCCTACCTACCCCCAAAAGTTTAAGCCTGGATTTCGTCCACTTTATTTTTGGGGGCCCCCTATCATGCTTTTTTTTGCAAAAAAAAAGAAAATGAGAAAGTCGCCCGGGGGGGGGGCGCTATAGTCCCTATCGCCCCCCCTGGATCCGCCCCTGCTAGGAGGCCTTGTATGTGAACTAGGAAGCCCTCTGTGATAGCTAGGAGGCCCTCTGTGCAGATGCGAGCGCAGGCCCTCAGTACAGACTTGGAGACCCTTTGTGTGGATGCGAGTGGAGGCCCTCTGTGGAGATTAAGAGGTCCTGTGTTGGCGAAGAGGATATCTGTGCAGGCTTGGAGTCCCTCTGTGCAGGATAGGAGACCTTCTGTGTGAGTTAGGAGGCCCTCTGTGTTGGCTAGGAGGCCCTTTGTTCGGATGCGAGTGGAGGCCTCTGTGTAGGCTAAGAGATTTTGTGTTTGTTAGGACATCTGTGCAGGCTTGGAGGCCCTCTGTGCAGGTTAGGAGGCCCTGTAAAAGTGGTCATCTCTGTGAGTATAAGAGACCTCCAAGTTATGAAAAGCTTTACCAATCTTCTAACAAAGAAGTCTTCTCAGCTAGTCTTCTAAGAAATAACTAAGTGGGTAGGTTAAAAAAAAAAACTCATCGGATTTCGGCCACTTTATTTTCAGGAGGCCCCCTTTTCAGCTTTTTAACTTTTTATTTTATTTTTGAAAAAAAATCGGCCAAGGGGGGGCCATGGCCCCCATGGCCCCCCCCCTTGTATCCGCGCCTGCCATCCGGTGCATTCTATCGTGCTTTACCATGTGTTTAGAAGGACTCATTTTTGGGAGTGGGAAGAAAAAAGGGGCATGGAGATTTTGGGGGGACTGTAAAATATACAGCAGGTATACCCGCGAGCATATCACTTGTTGTCGAACTTGTTCCAATACCCACGCTGTCGCCTGATTAATCCGCCCTTGTTCTGCCTCATTCTCTATTTCGCTTAGCATACTGTGGTCAAGTTGGAAGCTAAATAACATCATTCTCTGGCTTCCGACAGAGACATCATGGACGCTAGCGAATAAATATGTTGATATTGCACTACGTACTAAATACCCCAGATTAATGATATATCTAATAAAATATATGGTAATATTATAATACATATAACTATCTATTGGGCGGCCGCCGCCACTACCCGCCGTCTCCGCCGGCCGTCCCCATCTGCGTCTGCAGCCGCCGCCTCTGCGGCGGTGCACCGGTAGCGTCGGCTGGCGGCACCAACCAATCAGCGGCCGAGTTATGCCCCCGTCTAAGCCAATCAGCGACCGAGTCGCCTCGATGTGTCGATTGTCCCGAAGAGTCCCGAAGTGTCCCGAATTAGTCCCGAATCATCCAGAATGCGGCTATACCTTCAACACTATTCGGGACTCATTCGGGACACTTCGGGACACAATTCGGAATTTTACAGAGAAGGTATGCCCCCAGGTGGCTCGGTCTTATGGGGGGCGACATTCGCCCCCCCCCCGCCCTTCCACTGGCGTAATACTTTCAACCCTTACACTGCGCGTGTTAAAATCGGTATAGAATTTGCAAGTTGTCGTGTTTTGCGTGACATCGTTTCCACTTCCCAGTGTAGCTTGCCGAATGTTGAGCAATGATGCGAACTTTTTTAGGGAGCGATGTCACGCAAAAACCGATGTCTCGGATAAAATGCACGGAAAAAAAAAACGCGTAGTGGAGCCTGGGCTTGAGTGCCACTACTCCACCTCACTCTAGCCCCTGTTATTTCTTGTCTGGCCGACACCCACCGAGGAAAAAGTTGCCCTTGTAGTCGTCCGGTGGTGGCACGATGGGCTGCTCGTAGCCCATCACCGTCTTCATGGTGGCCTCCAGCGCAGCGCGGCCATACTTGTTATCGATGTTGAACCGTGACAGGTCACGCGACTCGGTGGCACGCCGGTCACCGTGTGTCAGCGCACCCTAAGGAAACGGTTCAGAGACAGTCACAATGGTCGCTGGTCAGATACAGTCACACACACTGGTCACCGATCAGTCACACTGGTCAGAGATTGTTGGAGAGATTGCGCACCATTGTAGTAGCTCCACATGTCATACTGACGCCCGCGTTTGCATCTCTATGGCCGGGATGCGTATTCCCGAAGTGTATTCCACGAGTTGCCCGACCAGGGCGGTGTTTCACGGCCGCTGCTAACATGCTGCCAGCATACACGGCAAATTCGTTTTCCATGGAGACATCAACACACTCGGACGCTCCAACAATGAGTGATTTGACCACAACCTATGAAGTCAGCTCGCGAAATGCGCTGGCAGCGTCGTAGCAGCGTGCGTGAAACACTGCCCAGTATATCCCCCAAATCACCCATCCCCAAAACCTGCGAGCGGAAAAAAAAATATATACATCTCCGCGTACTTTAAAACAGCTGCGGCTATTTCCCAGTCGGTAATCGTCGGTTGCGCCAAAATTTGGGCTGTTTCAGCCGATGATACGCCCACCACCCTGGCTGATCTGGGCTATTCACCAGTCACCAACCCACAGTGATGCAAATGGGGTTCACGAGTGGCCAGTGGCGTAGCCAGAAATCGGCGAAAGGGTCGAGGGGGCGACTTTGTCCCTTGAGAGGGGCGCCATTGTGAGCTAGTGTCAGGGGCGCCAGTCTAAAATGTAACGTCATATATTCATGCATGATTTACTAGGTGTTGCAAAATACGAGGATAAGAACCAGGTTTCACTGTTTTTTCCATAAAATCCAATTAATGCAATTTGCAGCCCGGTGTTTTTTTATCAAAAACCTTGATCTTTATGCATATTTAGCACGATATAGGAAACGAGCTCAGGCTACGGACATTTTATTCTCAAAATACGCACCCATGCGAATTCGAAACGGTAAAATATACGTTGATCGATAGGCACAATCTTTACTCTTTGCAAAAAAAAAAAAAAAAAAAATACAGATTCATTCACTGATCCAAAGTGACCTGTGAACTGCGGCCTCTGGTCAACCGGGGTGGCCGTGCTTAGAATCTCAGACCGCACGTATGTAGGATTCACGCTGCGACTAATTGCCTAAATTGAGTCAAGGAAAGACTTGAACATTTAAGACTATGATATCTACCATGAGATCCAAACTCATTGTCATACCAGCAGCGACTGCAGTCAGAGGCGACCGAACGCTGACACGTTCTGGATTTTTTTTTTCTCCACAAATCACCTTTAGGGGAGAGTGGGGCACATTCGTGCAAAAAATGGATAAATCCATATATCTGTTCGCCGGTTAGTGCAATGACAAAATTGTTGATTGTAGTATGGAAAGGAACTATTGCAGATATTTTTCCTCTTTAAAAGTTATCCTCCAAAGTTATCGCTTCTATGAGAAAAAATTACTTTTAATAACTCTGAACTTTTGCACGAAACTGCCCCCGGTATGGGGCACATTCGTGCAAGGGGTGGGGCACTTCCGTGCATCCTGCAAAGTTCGAGGAATTACCGGGCATTGCCAGAAATTTACCAAAATAAATTGGCAGGGGGTCCTTTCACATGATTCCTTTCCACAAGAATGCATTGCACAACATATGTAGAAAGAATGGGCTGGCCAACAAGAATGTGCCAACTGCCGGCCATCGACCCGCCTCCGTGACCTCTCCAAGGTCACGTGAATCACTTGTCACGACGTCGCAAGCAGCCGAGACTGAGTCAGGCGAGCGTTACTACTACAGATAAAGTCATAAATCGCAAAAACGAAAAAAAATATGGAGGAATGTGCCCCTAGGCAGGGCGTACACGAACCTGCCCCACAACGTTATTTGTAATATATTTCAAAATTTCTTATTGAAAAAATGACAGTTTTTCAACAAAAAAGTTTGCAGCAGTTCCGTGAATAAAGTGAGCTTCTTCGCCCCCAATTTTGAAAAGTTAAACCACATTTCCTAGTCAGGATCACGAAAATGGATGATATGAGAAAAGTTTGGAAAGCGCACGAATATTACAAATTTGCGTTTTTATCAAGCATGACAGCAGTTACAGTGCTGTCTTCTACAGTGAGCGAAGGGCGGCAATGATAGACATATTTTCATAATTTACCTTTAGCTCGTGCAGTCACTCGTCTTCCCATAAATTGCAAAAAACGAAGGTACCCCATGCACGAATGTGCCCCACTCTCCCCTACCATTCGATGTCTAGTGCGCAAAGCCCCTACTTGTAGACATGCATGACTGCATGAGTGCCAGATGGGTGAGGCGTGAGACTGTCCCATATAGTGACACGAAGGTTTATGATGTCTTCGGTCGACGTAGTATAGAAGACGACTTTTGATGATGAGTGTGCATGATCGACTTTGAATAAGCGCCATAGAGACTTGCTGATCTCACCGAACATTCGCCTTGCGTAATCCCCAGACCAAATATCTACATTGAGGGCCAGGTCAATTTTGTGACCTCTCATTACCTATTAGTTACCCCGCGCCGTGCTGGTGGCCTGTGTTTTCCGTGTCGTGCTGGGGGGAGAGGGGGGGGGGGGGCGTTTTCACGCGCCCGTCTAACTCGGCTCCTGAGCCACGTAGCGACACGCGGTAAGGGGCAATCGAAAGAGCGTAAAAAATAATGACGGAAAGACTTCGTTCAAGTTTTAGGTCAGGTCAAAGGTCAGGTCACCAGAGGCCACCAAAGGTCAAATTTAGTACATTTCAACAATTTTGGAAACTGCCGACGGCTAACTCGGGAACCAATATAGCTACAGCCCCGCGGAAAAGCGCATTCGAAAGCTCTTTTACAGACCTTTCTGAATATCGCTCTCAGATTTGATATCAGGTCAATGGTTTAGCCTCCAGAGGGCAAAAACTCTAAAAATAGCAGATTTTATTAAAAGCGTTTTTCTGCAATAACGTTTGGCTCAAGAGGGTGACGATAGTTAATTTGCCTGCATTGTGTTCCTCTCGTCGAGACGCGTCGAATGAACTATACGTTGACCTTGAAAGGTCATTTTGAAAATTTGACCTCAGGTCAAGGTCATGCTGCATATCAGTCGATCTGTATCGTCGAGCTGACCACAGCTGACGTGTTTTCACAGCTTTAGCACGTCTCTATCTAAGGTTATAGCAAAAAAAAAAAACTGCCGGCGACCGTTTATGACCGCAGATGACCTCAGGGGCACACAGAAGGGTCACAGGTGCTTTTTTCCGATTCAGTGTGCTATGTTTACCCATGAACCGATGTTTGAGAGGGTTTTGCACGACATTCGTCCAAAAGAGGCGCATTTGACTTTTCTCCTACTGACTTAAAAGGGAGAGGTCGCAAAATTGACCTGACCTTAGGTCACAGAAACCAAAAGTCCGAGATAAAAATTTCATGCATATTGTTAGTCTTATCAATCTCTGAAAGTTTCACAAGTGATAGTTCAGTCTGTGTAGCTATAGCGAGCCTTTAAACTTTTTTTTTTGAGGCAAGGTCACTTGACGTGCCCTGGTGACCTGACCTTGAACGACCCTCATCTGAAATTTTCACAATATGTGTAGAAAAGATTATGAACAGGTGTGCCAAAAACAGCAGCGCTGCGCGACGCCGTTTTTCAGATATTCGCGAAAAAAACCTAAGGGGGGGGGGGCGTAAAAACGCCCTCCCCCCAGCACGGTGCGGATTAATGGGAGACAATTGAAATGCTCTTCTTCTGAGCGAAAACAACCTCAAACATCTGGATACAGGTAAATATGACACATTTAATCGGGAAATGTCACTCGTGATGTGACCACTCTTATGTTAACGTCATCTTAGGTCATGAAAGGCCTAGTCCAGTAGCTTTTGGACAATAACTTTTGATAGAGATATGGTAGAGCAATGAAACACCCCATATAATTATTTTCCTTCTCGACAATATGGATCGACTAATATGCAATAGGACTTTTCCTGTTTAGGTGATGACCTTCAACTTAGGTCAAATTCTCAAAATGCCCTTGTCAAATGTCAAATTCTAGTTCATTTGACCAGTCTGTCTCGAAAAAATGGAACACGATGCCGGTTAAACTAATCTCGTGCAGGGGTGAGCCAAAAGGTATTACAGATAAACGCCCTCCGCAAAAACGTATATTTTGAGGCTGAAACGTTTATATAGGTCAAACCTGAGATAAGCAATAAGAGACAGAGAACGGCCAGCAAACGAAGGAACTATTTCTGGATGACAAGCGAATAGCCGCTCACGCAAGGAGCGGAGCTCCGCCCCGTCCAAAGTGGCCAACAAAGCAGAGACAGAGGCAGCATCACATCTTCCATCAAAGAACTGGTTTCTGGCTTGGAAGATGAGCTCCATCTTTGCATCCGAGTCGGTGCTGTCAGGAATCAGCTGGTTTAATGGAGTGAGACGACTAGCCATCGTGCCAGAGCTGCCTGGTCCTCGTAGCATATGCACCGATTCTTCTCGATCGGACTCTAAATTCTGTCCCTCCTGTGTATTACTTGAGGCATTGCTATGTAGCTAAGTCTTTGGCACAGTTTCATTATCCATGCTTTGCAAACAGTGCCATAACAACACAGTTAATTAACCAGTAAAACGCCTTTTGGGCGAAGAACGAGCGAGCGAGATAGTGAGCCCTGCAGGCTGCACGTGCGGAAGGGCGAGAGGGTACTTCCAACGGGCTTGCGCAAAGCACCCTTCTAACCGGTCGCTAGCGGTGTACCAAATTTGAACGCAATCGGCCCAACCGTTCCTGAGATCTGGAAGCGGCATTCTGCACGTACGCACGTGCAAACGGGGTCCAAACTGACTTTTGCACGGCACCCTACTAACTGGTCCCCAACCGTGTACCAAATTTGAGCGCAATCGGCCCACCCGTTCTCGAGATCTGGAAGTGCCCCCTGCACGTGCGCACGTGCAGTAGCACCTTAACCGCAACACATGGGAATGCATTGCCCGGTGGGTGCCTACCTGTATGTCAAGTTTCAGCGAAATCGCCCCAGTAATTACCGAGTTATTA